AGAACCCCAAGTCCACAAGGAATATAGCTAAACTGGTCCCTGTGGATGTGCTTGTGTGTGCTGGTGAGTGGGTAAACCCAAGGGCAATGCACTGCCCACCCCAAGGGGCCGTGACCTCAGGGGGACAGGAGTAAGAAGCGTGAATAGGCCGGTGGCCCATGGCTCCCAATCAGGCAGCCCTGAACTGGACACAGATGGGCTGCATCCCCCAAAGTATCTCCTACTCATTCGGGAGAAGCAAGAGTTAAACATCCATCAGAAGAAAGGGAATGGACTTTGGGTCCAGTTAGAGCAGGAGCTGCTGTTTGTCCTGGTATAACCCCAAGACCTACAAGGTACTTGGCACAAAGTGTTACTTAACAAATTGTTTTGGGTGAGTAAGTAGAACGCAAGTTGCAGGCGTTTTGTTCTCCCGGCTGCTGCTCAGGCCCCCCAGCAACTGCTTGGGGTGGGGGCAGGAGATGCGCCAGACGCGGGCCATAGTCAGAGGTGCAGAAAAGGGATGGGGGGCTGACGGGGAGCCCTGTAGGCTTTCCCTCCACTTTACTGCTTCCTCTCTTAAACCCAGTCTCACACAGACACAGCAGCTGGTATGTTCAGCCCTAGCATGTGCTGTCCCCACTTTGGTCCTCCACATGCTGCCGTGAGCTCTCGGGTTCTGAGGCTCCTTATGGCTTCACTGACACCAACCTAGAACCTAGCCACGCTCCTCCTGGGCACGGAGGCTGTCTTGGGGTGTCTGCGAGACTCGAGGTGCCACGTGGCGCACCTAGGAGAGAGTTTGCTCTCCCCAGACCGTCAAGGTTTAGGAAGCAGTGGCGAATACTACTAGTTTTTTATATATGTACATTTGGGTCAAGTCGATGAATCACAAGCCTTATAAGATGGAGACAAACTGCAACACTCAGAGACCCCTGTCTCCCCCCCAGCTGCCTAGAACCAAAGATCACATTGAAAATCTAGAGTGTGAGGCCTCTGGCTGGCTCACTTGGTACAGCATGGGACTCTTGATCTAGGGTCATGAGTTCAAGTCCCACGTGGGGTGTCGAGATTACTTAAAAAAAAAAAAGCCACAAATCCAGAGGGTGAATTTCCACCATGTGGCATAAGGATGGAAAACAAGGTTTCCCTGCTACAGAATATCTTCTCTATGGAGCCACCATCCTGTCTTCCTCAACCTACCTCTCCTCTGCTGTAGTTGGCTCTAGGAATGTAGGCCTGAGGTTGGGGTTAAGGGGACACCTGGGACCAGGCCATCAAGCCGTCACCCTAAGTCACCCTGGATATGTTTACACGACAACAGACGAGGCTGGGATTATCCATTTGTGTGCTGAGAGAAGTGCCCCCTCCTTCCATCCACAGAGTCCCCTTCCCTTCAAGTCCCCAACCCTGCTGCCCCTAAAACAGAAGGTGGGCTGAGGAGAGGAACATCCTTCAATAGGAAGATCCTCTGTGATCTTCCCTTTGTTCTGGACTGGGGAGGGGTTCAGAGAAATATATTGTTCAGTCTAAAGTAATAACCGTGATCCGATGAGAGGTTCTGGGCAAGTGCAGATCCAGCTGAATCATCATCCCGGTGCTTGTGTCTCTTAAAAATAAATCCTTTTGCAGAATTCTAATTATAGCCAGGGGAGCACTTGGAAGAGGTCTCTCCACACGCAGGCTCACCCAGCTCTGGCCCTGAGACAAGCTGGCCGGGAGGGAACCGGATTTCTGGCTGGGGTCCACCGGCAGGTGGCAGGATGTGATAATCCCCTTCTGCCCTTCACCAGGCCAGGAAATTGTAGCCAGTATCGCGGTGAGAGAAAAGGGTTTCCTCTTTCAGGCAGTTCACTGGGGCTCTCAGTTGAACTCCTTTTCTGCCAGTATTAACCTTTCGTTCTTCCCTTGGTTCTGGATACCTAGGAGGAGCGGAGAGAGGGGGCTACCGAGGAAGGGGACAATCTAGTCCCTCTCCTTCGGAAGCCCTCAAGCTCTCTGTTGTTTTGGGTCCACATTTAGCTTTTCAAAGAGGCAGCTTCCCCAAGTGGCTTTCAGAGGTTAGGTAAAGCCTCTCCTGTACAGACCAAAAAAAAAAATTTTTTTTTCTTCCTACTTGTTAGTGCTTAGAATGTCATGGGGGTGACTTGAATTCCTGCCTTAGTGTTTTGTTTAAAATAGCCCATGATAAGGGTAACATAATGAGCCCCCTATCAGCCATTTACATGCTAGTGAGAACTTGACCCAAGTTTATTGAGAAGTACAGGCTATTCAACAGTAGGGCTTCGTAGCTGAATTCGACTTGATCTCTGTGCTCAATTTGTCCAGTCCCTGAGGCAGGCCTAAGGATTATGAACCTGCAGGATTCTTTAGCAGATGTGCCCGAGAAAATGCCCTAGCATATAGGGGGCAAGGAGTAATGCATTGCGAGGGAAGAAGTCAGAAAATGCTCCATGGGAGAAATGGTGTTTGGGTTGGACCTTGAAGGGATGACAAGACATGCAGGGAGCCCGATGCGGGACTCGATCCCAGGACCCCAGGATCACTCCCTGAGCCGAAGGCAGATGCTCACCTGCTGAGCCACCCGGGCGTCCCCAAATGTGACTTCTATCTGGATAGGAAAAGTGTGCTCACGTAGTTCTACAACCAGGAAAGGGAGCGTGGAGATTATATTTTAATTGCTCTAGGAAATGACCCCCACGTAATCCTTTTGTAAAGCGACGAATGCACAGGGATACTTCAAGCTTATCCTGTAGAGAGTGATCTTGTTTTTGTTTTTTTTTTTTTTTTTTGATTGCTGGATTTTCTGAAAGTGGGGCGCGTTGAGGAGGGCAGAAGTAGATTTGCCTTTCTAACCGCACTGGCCTCAGGGTGATGCTAACTTTTAGGGGGTCTGTCTTAAGGAGAAAATTCCATATTAGCTGTTTGAAAGGATGACCCGCCTCAGGCAAGCAAACAAAACAGAGACTCCGTTGCAGGCTCTTTGAGAAAGTGAACCAGGTACAAGTGGACTGTGAACCAGGCTGGTCTGCAAGAGCCCTGGTTCTCTGGGTGTCAGTGGCCTGAGGGCTGAGGGCAGAGAGGCACATTTAAGTTTGAACCCTCAGGTGAAAGTGTGCTCCCTTTAGCTGTCAACTCAGGAATGGTCCTCACAGGGGCCCCAGTGGGCTCGGTGTACAGGGAATGGCCGATCTCTAGGGTATATATGGCTGGAGGACACCATCGCCCTGAAGGGCAGAGGCCTTGAGCTCTTTGGTACAGTGAGCAGGGGTCTACATGCAAGGAAGAGCTGGGACTTCTGTCCACTGTCACCTGTATTTGTCAGCACCGTCTGTGTACCTGGGGCACCATGGGCACTGGGCGCAGGACTCCTGACCAGTAAAGCAGGGCACGTGGTCACGCTGAGAAACCAGGCTCGGGCAGCACAGAGGCAAGGCCGTCCGCAGGTTCCTTGGTAATGCCAGCTAGCAAGTCGGGGAGGGTTTCTTGACCACTTTGAATAATCAGGTCCAGAGGGGATGTTCACAGGCTGTTGAGAGAAAGGGAGGGAGGGGTGAAGAGGAAGGGGGAGGAGACGGAGGTGGGTAGAGAGAGAGAGAGAGAGAGAGAATGAGCATTTGTAGGGCGCTAGAACTTGTTGCCAAAATTTGAGCCTCATGGCCTTACGCAGCCCCCTCTCGACGTTTGCAAGCCGTTGATTTCTGTTAACCCCAAAGGAGTTGGAGCACGTTCATACCAGGGGAAGACTGTTTGCTGTTAGGAAACCCTTCAAAGGAGAAACCAAGAAACTTTTAAACAGTTGTATTTTCATCTTGGTCTCTTTTCTTCAAACGCTGAAAACGAGGATCACGTGTGGCCTAAGAATATCTTCAGTCATAAATGAATGAATGAATGAATGAATGAATGAATGAATAAATAAATGTTAAAAAAGAATATCTTCAGTCTTCCGGTAACAATGGCTACCTGTGAAACTTTTGAATTAGAACTCTCTAGTGATACTGAACACACTAAGCTGGTTCATACTCTCGGTTCCCTCTCATCAGAGAAGGTAGGAGGTTCACTAAGTGATGGAAAAACTGAGAGAAGCCGGGAGCATGCTTGGGCGGAATTTTGTAGCGGGAAGTCATTGAGGAAAATGTCTTCAATGAAGACAGGGGATGTGCTTACAGATTTTCTTTTTCCAGCTTGAAGTGCTGTCTGACATGACTTCACATAAATGCTTATTAGTACTTTAGAAAATGTATTCAGGAAGGAGAAGTGATTTGCCATGGGATGACTTACCCCACTGACAGGCTTTTTCAGATGGATTGTAAAGGATTTACCCCAATTTTACGCATTGAGGCCTGAAAGAAGTGACTTTTTTTTTTTTAAGATTTTTATTTATTTAATTTGAGGGAGAAAGAGTGAGAGACAGAGTTTGAGTGGAGAGAGGAGCCGAGAGAGGGACAGACACCTGGCTGGGCAGGGAGCCCTACATGGGGCTCCATCCCAGGACCCTGGGATCAGGACCTGAGCGAAGGCAGACGCTTCACCCACTGAGCCACCCACGGGCCCCTGGAAGAGTAACCGTCCATCGAAGATAGGCGAGCATCTCTCCGTGGGAAACTTGCCTGAGAGGTCCTGTAGTTGCTGGGCTTCCCCCAGGGCACGAGCACCGGGAGGCCAAGGTTTCAAGGAGACTGTGGCTGAGGTGTTTGTTCTGTTGTACTGCGTGTAATTTTTTTAGACCCTTGCAAGGTTTTCCAGAAGTTAGTGTGACCAAATTCAGCTTCGAGTTGGACAAACTCATTTGGCAACCTGTCAGGCCTTTTGAACCCTACGCTGGAAGCCCATGAAAATGTTCCTTTCCTGAAATCCCATCAAAGTGGCCTTGAGGACACGGAGGGGGAGCTGGGGACCGGGGCTGGCGGGGTGGGGTGGGAGCCGGGCAAGCCTCGGAAGGGTTAGAAAACCAAGTCAAGCTCCCTGAATCAAATACTGAGTCATCTTTCTCTCTGTCACCACCTTCCTTTGACCCTTAGGCCTGCACTGCCTGAGAAGAAGGTGACTGACCTCGGCACGCTGAACGAGGTGGGCTACCAAATCCGGATCTAGGCAAGCCATATCAGCCAGCAAGAGGGCTTCCGTGGTGCTTCTCTCTGCACTTTACCGCAGCATCTTCAGGAGGAACTGCAACTATTTATTGAGAACCTGTGAATTTTATTTTTAAGGATTCCCTTGGACGTGGAATCTGAGTGGGTGGTGACAATGAACTCTGGAGAAATTCACGAAGGGGCAGCCCGGAAAGGCTGAAGTAAGAAACCCCACGGGGGTTGGACTGCAGATAGAAAGGGTAATTCGTAACTGTGGTTTTTCTATCTTCCCATTTACCTACTTTTGTTTACTTGCTTTTGAACACGATGGCTCACCAGTAGTAAATGTGGCCGAAACCCTCCCTCCCACTCCAGGTACAGTAAGGTAACTCAGCCAGTAGTCATGTCTTTTTCAGCAATAACAGAGGCAGAGATCGGTGGGATTTTCTTTTTTTTCTAAGCAGTCAAATATTACCTCAGCATCTTGACATCAGATATGCAAACTTAATGGAGTTTTGGGTTTTTGTTTTATATTCTATTTGTATTGTTTCCCCAGTATTTCCAAATGGGGACCTCCACAAAGTTTGGAATTTTTCCTTGGTGCACACCGAATAGGATTTAAGGTATTATATCAAGTGTTTTACTAAAAAAGCACTGCAATTCTTCTGGCAATACGGGAAACTATTTTCAGGACCTTGGAGTTACTTCTTTCTTAATGTTTCTTAAAGCATTCACTGACAGGGGTTTCTGTTCTTTCAAAACACAACAGAAAGCACGTGCAGAAGGCAGTCTACGTTCTGTCATTAATATTTAAACTTTGCAAACTCCAGCAAAAAAAAAAAAAAAGGAAAAAAAAAAGCACAAGGGGTCATGGCAGTGTTACACAAATTTAGCAGTATTGCAATTACCTCCAACAATCACGCACTCAAGAGAGGCAGAGGCCAGGAGTGAATCAGTGGGAGTCTTGAGAGCCGGGTAACCTTTCTGTTCTCGTTCCATCTGATTTCCTAACCTCTGAGTCAGGCCTTGTTCTGAAGGCCTCGCTGTTGTCAGAGGGGTGCTCTGATGTCTTATATTAAGACCAAATGTGGCAGGATGTGGTCACTTTCCAGTCCCTTGCTTTTAGGTACCACTTCATGACATTTAGGAACTGGTATAGGAAAATGCAATGAGAATGCAGAACCTTTTCTTAAATGGAAGTCTTCAGGTGTACAGTGTTAGGCCGGAGAGCGGGATTTTAGTCCGTGAAGTACAGCGTGAGAATCTGTGTAACTTCTGACTGCAGACCACACAGAGTGACTCCAGCCGCCAAGTCTGTCCGTTATCAACATCAAGAGTATGCTTCCGTTTCATCTGTTTCAGCTCGGCGACCGTGCCCGCTCGTGAGACTAACACGCATACTTAAGTGGGGTCTGCTGGTCAATGGAAGTGTTATTTCAGTTGTCAGTGCTCCCTCTCTGGCTTTCTTTGACTGAAGGTGATTTTAGAAAGGGGAATAGAAAAATAAGAATCTGCTTATTGAGATTCTCTACCAGTAAAGCCACTGAAGGTGACTTTGTCCTTTGGCCACATGCACATGAGCTCACTTTACGCTGAAACTCAGTGGTATTAGTGTTTCCATTAATAATATCATTTTCTTGAAAAAGAAGGAAGTTTAGTGTTCTTTACATGAAAAGGACCAAATAAGTGTACATGTCAATTAGGTTAAAATACAGAAGTTAAAAATTCTGAACTTAATCACTGTTTTTAACAATATTATCAGAGTTTAAGATGAAGCATCTTTGTGGATCTTCATAAGGCAAACTCATTTAAATATTTGAATTAATCAACTCATTCTCAAAACAATACTGACTTAGCTCTATGAAAAACAAGCTATATGTATCTTATGTGTATCAATCTGAAACTTTATTATCTCCAATAAGTATACAACTTCTACACTGCAATCAATTCTAAGAGCTTGAAATAGGATTTTCCAAGTATTAGTTAAGTACTGTCCCATCCAAAATATAGAATGTCAGTAGTTGCATAGCCTCGTTTCCCACAAAAAAAGGGTTAAAGAATAGGAACATGAACTATTCTAATATTCTGACGTATAAGCCTTAAAACTGCCAGCTGGTTTGGTGATTCAATTAGTAATCTGATTTTTTTTCCACTCACTTCTTAATTTTAAGATTTATTCCCCCAAAGCAAGGGTTAGTCACAGAAACGTGAAAATTAACTTAAAATCCTCTTAGTTTTCATTCTGTTTTTATTAGCTATGGAATTATGCTAATTTCTAAAAGATTTGAGAAAGGCACCAAACTCTTAAATTCTAGTGCAGGAATTTAATTAAAATGATATTAAGGCAAAAAATAAAAAATAAAACAAAAAGCCATGACATAACCCCCCCCAAATGATTTTAAAACTGGCTGTTATTCAAAAGAAAAAATAAAACTATCAGATGATTTTAATCTAGTTTTTAAAATTCTTAATGCAAGAGAAATTTTATGCTTAAGCCATTATGGGGTTATATGCAAAGTTTAAATCAGATGACAGAAATCTTGATTTTAGACTCCATGTTGTGCTGTTTTGAGTACACTTTATTTCAGAAAGTGATATTTGGTATTTTCTATACACTTTGAAATCATGAGCATTTCACTTTTTCTAAGTCAATTATTTCATAAGGATTTTATTAATAGATATTGGTAAATAGAACTTTGGAAGTCTTAATTCCGTATTCTTACTATACCTGAGGCTTTTGTAAGCTATAGTTTTATGTACAACCTTGTACAGTTTTTTTGACACACAATTCAGAATCTTGTTTATTCTCTTGGACTTTGTTCTGGCCAATACATTTTTTTTAAATCTTTAAGGAAAACTGTGATTGTTTTAGTGGGTATTTTTCTAAGTAAAGGAAAACTTGTATAATGGTATTTTAGAGAATGCCAGATAAGTGCATGTTTCAAGTTAATGTTTTTCTCATCACTTGTATGTTTATACACAGCATGGAACTTTAATAAAACCACCCTGGAAACTTAAGGATTGTTTTTCTTCCAAAAATGTAAGATGGTGTGATTTATTTTTTCTCGTCCTTTTACTACATACTTGTCCTAGTAAACTCATTTATCACTCCCTCATCCCTGTCTTCTTCCAGTTTTCAGACTTTACATTCAACGCTATTGTTTTGCGCATCTTCATTCACTTACTTAGTATCACCCTGAGAAGGTAATGAAATAGTGTAGAAGGGGCAACAGCCCAGCATACACACACATCTACCACAAAATCTCCAGGCACAGACACATTAGAGTAATAATTTATTAGGTGATTCACTGAGACAAAGTGCCAATAACTTGACTTCTCTGTTTCCCCAATCCCTTGAACTCTCTGGATCTCTAACTTGGCTTTTTAGGAAAGCAGAGGGTTAAAAGCAAACAGGTGTTAAATTCCAAAAAAAGGACAAGATTTCAAACATGCATGTTTTCTTGATATCAAAAGGTAAAGTAAAACCAACACTTCTTACCCCACGGCATCTCTTTCCATTTTAACACTTGGCCAGTAGAACACTTGAGAGTGGGGGCAATTTGGCTTCAGCAATTAACCAGATTTAAATGTTTGGGCAGGTAAATACAGGGCTCCAACAGAGTTACCGATTTTTCTGACCAAAAAAAGTAAAGACAAGTGGATAGTTCATTTTAGTGGAGCTTTAAAGACTTGTGAGGCGGGATCCCTGGGTGGCGCAGCGGTTTGGCGCCTGCCTTTGGCCCAGGGCGCGATCCTGGAGACCCGGGATCGAATCCCACATCGGGCTCCCAGTGCAAGGAGCCTGCTTCTCCCTCTGCCTGTGTCTCTGCCTCTCTCTCTCTCTCTCTGTGACTATCATAAATAAATAAAAATTAAAAAAAAATAAAAATAAAGACTTGTGAGGCTATATTGACCCTTTGGCCTCTGGTCTGCAAAATACCATGTCCTATATGCTTAAGTAGAAAGCATTTTTATGGATTAACTCTACAAAGTGAAGCACATGTAAAGGGCCTAAAATCAATGTATTAATCAGGACATAAAAAATTACACTTTCACAGAGGTTTTCAGAGATGTTAGTTTAGCAACAATAACCTATACAAAAAGTTATCTGTTAGTAAACTCACATAACACAAAGCAGTAATTAATGAATTTTCATTTTTCCCCAATATTAAAAGGGGTGATTATACAATTATTTGATGACGACAACATCTACTAATTAGAACATACAATATTCTGCAAACTTACTAGAAAATGTGGAAAATTTTTGAACTAGAGTTAATACTGTAAGTAAAAACCCAAAAAAGTGAGAAATTAAACATTTAAAAATACTTATTATGATTTTTAGTAAATCCTTTTAACACACATGCCTTGTTCAGGTAGTCATTTATTTTCTTAAAAAATAACTGTAGTAAATATACTTTAGTACAAAAACCTTTAAAGTCCAGGACATGGAGTAACTACTGCTTTCTAATTTGAGGCATTCTATGAGGAATATCCACTGTAAAAACTTTTATAATTTAGTATAATACAAAATTACTACCTAGTAAAAATGCACATACTTTTTTGATCTTAATGTCTAAAAAGAGGACATGTTCACTTTTTTTGTTTTAAAATTTTTTATCCAAACATTCACATAGTGCCAACAGTGGGACTTTCTAGGCCTGCTCTTAACCACTTTACAAAAAAAATGTGAGCACCACCTCACACTTGCTGCCTCATGATAAAAGTGACATCTTAGAAACAAAACCACTAAGACAGTTAAAATTACTACTTAAGAGTATTAAGTCTCCAAGCTGGTATCTCCCTGCTAGTTCTGCGGGCTTCCTAAACCTCTGAGGCAAAACCAAAATAATCTTATAGCTGCCACTTTGTTGTAAAGACAAGTTTCCTAATAAATTTCCACAGAATAAAGTCTCTCCCCCAGCCTAGGGAATCTCTTCTTGAAACTGAAGAGAAAAAAAAAAAAACTGCCAGGGAAAGAAAGGTGTTCTAACCTAGTCTCTGCCTCTCTCAGGCATGCTGGTCTCAGGCTCTGTCTGTCACAAGATGGAAAGAGGGCACCTGTAAAGCATCTCACCCACTAGTTATGGTGACCTACATCTCCCAACAAAATGCAGACAATTTTACATGGCCTAGGAGAATAATAAGGTAGATTAAGTAATTAGCACAATTTTAGAAAACATTATCAAGACCCCTCAAAACCAAACTAAAATGGTTGGTTGGACACTTGTGAGCAATCCAATGATTTCTGAGATGAACTAATTAGGACTCAACAAACAGTAAGTCCTCACAATGAAATCAGGCCTTCTGGAAGGGAAATGAGTTGAGGTTTGCAAGAACTCAAAGGTACTTTGGATCCACCATAAAGCTTGCAAAAAAAAACATCAACTGAGATTCTTTACTAACTAAAGAGGATGCACTATATTTAAAAATCACTGTCAATTTTACTGGGATTTAGAATAAAAAATATTTACAACTCTTTTACAATAAGGAGTGTTTAGAGCTCACATGTCAGGAAAATATTTTTTCGTTATTACAAAGAAAATTGTTGTAAACTTGTTTCTTCTGACATCTGTTTCAAGCATTTCACATAACCTCTTCAGAAACTCCATGGCGCAAAAATAAACATGCAGACTCTCAAGAAATATTTTACATTCTTTGAAAAAGAATATAAATTGGAAAGAAAAGTATATATGTAATCAAAGAGTCAGAGTTCAAGTCTGAACTTAGCCAATAAAGGCAGATGATCTGAAGAGTTATTTTCATTTGGAAGTCCATTAACAGTCCATAAGTCTTGTTCCGTAAGGAGTGATAGTCTGGCCAGAAGTTTCAAGCCACCAACCAGAGCAACTTCAGATCCTATATCAAGGAAAACACATATTTAGTGGAACTGTATCAACAGGTCATTAAAAAAATTAAATCATAATCATAAATTAATCACACAAGTCCTTTTTCATTTTTATTATTTTTTAAAGATTTTTATTTATTCATTAGAAACACAGAGAGGGGCAGAGACATAAGCAGAGGGAGAAGCAGGCTCCCCACAGGGAGCCCAATGCGGAACTTGATTCCAGACCCACGGATCGCATCCTGAGCCAAAGGCAGACATTCAACCACTGAGCCACCCAGGCATCCCCAAGTCCTTTTTTAAACGATGATATATAGAACTTCAGAATTTTCTGGAGTCTAATAGGAAACAGCTTTTAGAATATGATTAAATTTCATACTGAGTTATAACCTAATTATAGTTCTCAGGCACAAAGCAGTTTTTGATGTTTGTTTCTTTTTCTGGTTCAGATGTTTTGAGTTCTGCAAATAATCTTTAGAAGAAAATACCAGTGTGTAATACATAAGTATGTTAAAAGTAATTTGAGAAGTGCCTGGGAGGCCCAGTTGGTTGAGCGTCTAATTGTTGGTGTAGGCTCAGGTCGTGATCTCTTGGGATTGCGGATTGTGGGATCAGCCCCATGATGGGCTCTGAGCTCAGTGCAGAGTATGCTCACATACGCTCCCTCCCTCTAAAATAAATATTTTTTTAAAAATGTAATTTGAGATTGACAACTACATGAGAAATTCATCAACTATATATAAAGTAGACCCAGCCACAGCTGAGTAGGAAGTTTATCAGGTGATTGGAGAATAAATTAGTATACTTTGGTCCCACAGTCAGGGCCCACAGTAGAGTTAAGAGGACTGCTAACTGTCGTTTGAGATGCTGGTCCATGGCACACTCCCGCCACCTACTGAACACTTACAGAATGACAACTGCTAGACTTGATCTAGGGAGGAGGGATAAGCCATCTCCTGAGTATTACTAATAAGGTTTTATCATCAATAGGGAGGAAAACACAAACAGAAGAAGAGAAATAGGAAAAAAAAAGAGAATAGAAAAGTAGCACATACACACAAAAGAGAAAATCAGAAAAGACCAAACAGCTGCCCACATTTTGGAGTTGGGAAGTTTTTGGGATGTTATTTTCTGACTTCCAGTCATTTTAAAATGCATTTTCTTCACCACATTAAATACTTTGGTTAATATTTAAAACCTTACTTTCACTGAATCATAGAAGGAAACTGTTTTATCATCTTCACTTTTTGAAACCCCATATTCATATAATGAACTCTTTCCAGAAAGATCCAACATTCCAGAGTCAACATGACAAAACTCAATAGTTGGCAACATAAGCAAGGTCCTGCGATGAAGGCAGTATGCCTCGGTAAAATTTAAGTACAAAATTACCTGATGTTGCTATCATATACACACACAAAAAAAAACCCCAGTAAATTTATCGCAAATAAAACCAAAGGGCAATATGAGAGACCCATAACTCAGAAGTTGATTGGAACTAGAAGAGGGTGCTAAGGATATAATTCTTAGGCAGTAATTTGCTTTGAGGTGCTTCACTGCCTCCATGTTTTACAAGTGATTGACAGATTTACACAATTACATTACCAATTTGAAAATCTTTTTAATTTTTTATTTAATTAAAAAAATTTTTAAAGATTTCATTTATTTATTCATGAGACACACAGAGAGAGGCAGAGACATAGGCAAAGGGAGAAGCAGACTCCCTGTGGGGGAGCCGATGTGGGACTCGATCCCAGCACTCCGGGATCACACCTTGTGCTCAACCGCTGAGCCACCCAGGAGTCCCAATTTTTAACTTTTTTTTGTTTGTTTGTTTTTTGTTTTTTTTATTTATGATAGTCACACACAGAGAGAGAGAGAGAGAGGCAGAGACACAGGCAGAGGGAGAAGCAGGCTCCATGTACCGGGAGCCTGACGTGGGATTCGATCCCGGGTCTCCAGGATCGTGCTCTGGGCAAAAAGCAGGCGCTAAACTGCTGCGCCACCCAGGGATCCCAATTTTTAACTTTTTAATTTAAAACTTCACCTAGTTGTTTAGCACCTCAACGCTGAGGTTGGAGTTAACTGTATTCTCAAGTACAACGTAAGATACACGCATTCTTTACCTGGCTGCTCAGCAACATCTTCCTTTTCAGCAGAATAGAAAATATAATCCACAGTTATGGCACTTCGGGAATGACAAGTGGTCACTTCTGGAATTCCAGTGTCAGGAAAATAATGTGAATAAACAGATGACAAGCTGAAATGGTGCTGTAAATTTGAAGATAATCTAAATTGAAAAGAAAAATTGCTTAGCATCCATCAAGTTTTTCTTTTTAGTATCCCTCCTATTTAAAGTACTCTCTGGTTTAATTTCCAGACAATGTTAGACATTCAGACAAGCTTTATTTAAACAGATCACACCAAAAAATAAAAATAAAATAAAAAAAAAACAGATCACACCACAATTTGGCATTCATTTACTCATGTGGTGATATCCAAAAGCCAGTAACAAGTGGGTAAAAGCTCAATAATTAACATATTAATGTCACTTATTAATTATAACATATCTGAGAGCCTGCACTTCCTAATAAATATGCATTCTAAAACTGTAAGTTGTTGTGTCTTTAAGAAAGAAAATGTGGCCTTTATGAATGTTATGTACAACCCACCAGACTTTTGATGTCAGAAGAACTATATTTTTCTATGATTATTCTTACTTTGTATATATTAGGTAATTTTGTACTGCATCCTAAAACAGCTTCTAATAATGGTTAATATTTATCCCATGTTACAAATACATGTGATGTAACAAAGGGTTTAAAAATCATTTCCAATAAATACATCTTGAAATTTAAAGACCTTTTATACTGTGAAAACAGTTATAAAACTTTTTAAAATTTAACATTTAACAAACATCTAAGTTCCAGGCACTATCTTAGGTGCTTAAGATACACATAAAAAGATGCTGCCCTGCTTTCTGAAGAGCTCAGTGTCAAGGAACAAAGGTTATTCTTCCAAGATGCCCTTACTTTCAAGTTTTAGCAACATTTTATCTCTAAGGACTTATATTTACAGTATCATCAAATATAAAATAGGTTCTCTGTAAACTTCTCTATCAATTTTTTGATTTATAGATATAAGCTATGCATATAAGCACACTATATTTATATATAGATACTTAAAAGTATCTTTTCTTATACCTCATTTTGTTATAAAAAGATTTTAGAATTACTCAAAACCAAGTACTTGTTAGAGTTGTCCTTTTGTTAATCTTACAGAAGTTTTTACTATATTTGAAGGGTTAAAAGTCATGAATTTTTAAATATGCTTTTTTAAAAATTCAAAAAATGTTGCTTCATATCTTACTAGGTTCTTATATGAGATAATATTTTCTCAATACAAAGCATACAAAGTAAAATAAGACCAAGAAGAAAGTAGATAAAATGAGTAAGAGGAGATTCTAATTCAGTCCCTAAATGCAAATGTTAAAACAAAAATTATAACTAATAAAAGAGCCACAATATAAAATCAAGGCATTTCAAGAATCTCCCAAAGAGATGAGATTTAAGTCTCCATCTATTTCTCAACCACAGTCCTAAATATCATGCTTCTTTAATAATAAGGAATCCAGGTATCTTCATCCCTCCACCTTCGATAACTTTCCTCTGTAGTTCAAGAGATGTAAGTATCTATGTAAACTATTTATACTGGCATATCTTCTTTCAATCAATTTTCCTACAGAGATCTAGTAAGTCAAAGGAGGTTAAGCAACCTCTTGAAATCTGAAAGGTATTTTCCTGTGACCTTGACCTTTGTTTAAATATGAAATAGCAAAAAATTTCAGAGTACTAGCTGTAGTACTCTATACTTTAGCTGAAGTACCAAATAGTACTCTATTTGCTTTAACTAACACTGCTTAAGCCTTTACTTACTATGAATTAAACATTAGCTTTCCATGCTTTGTCTCATGTAATCCTCCCAACTACCCAAAGTATAAATATGGAAACTGAATCTCAGAGATAGTGAGTTTCTTGCTCACAATCACACAGCTAAAATGAAGCACAAGTAATACTCAGGTCTCCTTGACTTAGGAGCTAGCATTCTGGGGACGCCTGAGTGGCTTAGTGGTTGGGCACCTGCCTTTGGTCCAGGGCATGATCCTGGAGTCCTGGGATCGAGTCCCACATCAGGCTCCTCACGGGGAGCCTGCTTCTCCTTCTGCCTATGTCTCTGCCTCTCTGTGTGTCTCTCATGACTAAATAAATAAAATCTTAAAAAAAAAAAGGAGCCAGCATTCTTCATCAGCATGGAAAAACATCCTTTTCATTTTTATCCAAGTGATTTTTAAGAAATAATTTTTTTAAAGATTTTATTTATTTATTTATTTGATAAGAGGGAGCACACAAGCAGGGCCAGCTGCAGGCAGAGGGAGAGGGAGAAGCAGGCTCCTCAATGAGCAGGGAAGGGAGCCCAATGTGGGGCTCAATCTCAGGACCCTGGGATCAGGACCTGAGCTGAAGGCAGACGCTTCACTGACTGAGCCACCCAGGGCTCAGGCACCCGAGAAATGAAATAGTAAATGTCACTGTTACTTTGCAGAACTCACTTTTCAGCTGTCACTAGGACCTCTGTTTTGTCCAGCTCTGTCTGTGTCAGATCACTGTCTGTAAGAACAAAAAGAAATACGTTAAACTATCAGTATACTGTTCGGTTCTAGTTTGCCATAGAATAGTCCTCTTACTCTAGGATGATATTCAAGACGTGTCTAGTTTAGACAGATGCCTAGTTAAATGTTCTAACTGGGAATCTATATGTCTTGATGGTCTCCATAATTAGCAAAACTGAAATGCAAACATTTCCAAAGCAACATGCAAGTAATTCATGCAGATAATTTTGGAAGGTCAACTTAAAGTGGTAACTTTAGAGGTCATTAAAAAAAGGAAAAAGTAAGTATTTTGTTTTTATATATGAATATTCATCCCTGAGATGTCATCCCTTAAAAAATTTAGTTTGAGGTCTTCAAAGGGAACACTATTATCAAGGGAGACTGCCAAAATGTACTGCAAACACTTACCTGTCTTTTCTACTTTTGGTAACTGCTGTACCTCATACACACAGTTCTGTGAGATACCTAGGTTTGGGGGCCAAATTGGAATAGATAAAATTCTTTGTCCCCGTGAAGACTGTTCCTGGCCAGATACCTAAACAAAATTTCAACAGGTATCTTAAGTGAAAAGATTTTAAATAATTTATGTATTGAAAAGTTTATGTCTTAAATAAGAGGAAGCCCAAGAATGATAATTACCCTTTATTCATCATAGTAAGTGATTATTTGTGCTTATGAAATCTTATTCAAATACAATCCAGAAAGCAGTTACTATTTACATAAAAATGGCAATATTTCCGTTTCCCGTACATGTTACTCTAATTGGGACATCTATATGATCTCTAACTCAGGACTAATACTGCCTCTCCTTTTTTTTTTTTTTTTTTTTAGGATGCCTCTCCTTTTTGCTTTGTGCAATTATATTAATATAAAATATTACATATTTTATATAATTATTATATGAAATACTAAGAGATCAATTCTTACAAAATTTTAAAACTATCACTCAAAACTTAGTGGTGGAGAGTTTACTTTGGTTCAAATCTGGAAGACCAAATGATCTGAAGTAAGCAACAGAAAGCACAATGAAGATTAAACATGCAAGAAACATGGGATATAGTCAGCTAAGAAATTAAAAAACGTACATAATAAAGAAATATTAGATTACTGTTTGGCCAACTATATTGCCCACATCCAGCATTCAAACTTCTATCAGGCCTCTTTATGAGTAGTTCCCTATTTATGAAGTATTAATGTCTATCAATGCTTTTATTTTTCTTCTTCTCTCCCATTTTGGATTTTTTTCTGCCTGCCAATTCCTCCAAATAGAACGCTGCCATGCGTTAAGATGGGAAAGATGAAATTCCACCGAGTGAGGATCATTACTTATTAGTAGCTGGGGAACATCATCATAGCCTGGTAGAGTGAGGGTACGAGGTCATCAGGTTTTCAAACAGCCACGTGATGGCTCTCCTCACATTACAGTAAACAGAGAGACTAAGTCCACCTCCTAATAATGAGTAACCAGGCACTTACCTTGCCAATGGCAAGTCCTTCATAATTCAATTTTCCTTCCTTTATAAAACTATAGAGCGGAGAACCAGGAACAGAATTAAAGTCACCACACATAACAATAGGGCAGAAGCTGCCATCTTTCTGATGGGCAACACTGGAAATCTCTGCCAGAAGCATTGCCAACTGGGTCAGCTTAATATCACCTCGCCTTGGATTATACAACAGATGTGTGTTAGCTACACAGATCACAGGAGAGGCAGCACTTGGAATTTTGGGCTGCAAGAGTAACACTAATCCAACATTGTCTCTGTCCAACAGAGGAACGTCACGGCGATAGAATTCCACAGGGTTCACTGATAAGAGTGCAAATTTGGAATGTTTGAAGCAGATGGCACAGCCATCAGGTTTCCTTCCTGTCCGCATCTTGTATTCACAGTGATAACCTACGAGGAAGAAAGAAGTTTAACACAAGGACTCCCAAATATTACATATATATGGCAAAACACAGCTCACCTAATATATCTGAACAACATTCACTGAAGAGTAATCTGCAAAGCATTAATAATGTAGGATGTTAAGTTTGGGACTGGGTCTAGGTACTAGGAATGGGTCTCCTTACAGGTAGACTTCAGTATTAAATATGTTAATGTGCATTATCATACTCTCATTTCTGTCCTAGTAAATGTTGTGACAAAGACAGTAGGGCCTTATGATAGTTTACACCCCCTCGACCCACCAACCCATCTATGACCTTTCTGCCTCCAACTCTTCCCTGTTTGCTCCACCCCTCACACACCTCACCACCTGCCTTCAGGCACCTCTATCTCAGGGCCTCTGCTTTGGTATTCCTATTGTCTGAAAGGCTCTAGGCATGGCTTATTCCTTCATCTTTTTCAAGTCTTTGCTCAAATGTGTTACCTTCTCTGATTGTTTAAAATTGAAACCTGACCCCATTCTACTTTCCTGCTTTTCTCCAAAATTATCATTACCTAATGTGCTGTGTAAGTATTTATTTGGTATACTGTTAGCCTTTCTCCACCAGAAATGTGGGCTCCAAGGACAGAGACTTTTTATCTATTTGGCTCACTGCCATGTCACCACGGCCCAGAATACTGCATAGGATATAGGAGACATTAAAAAAAATATTTACTGAGGAATGAATGCAAAGTAGGCATTTCTTAAATAGATGAACTGTTTTGAGAAGTGTTCATTCATCAAACAAGTTTTTAGCTTGTACCCACTAGTTACCGGTAGACACTGGTGTTACAATGATGAACCAGACACAATGGTCCCTGATATGGAACTCAGAAACCTAGAGGTCTAGTGGTGGGTAGAGCAACCCCTGGCAAGGAATCTATTAAGAGATTCTTAGTATTTTCTGTGTGAATTAAAATTACAATTCAAGGGGAATCTGGGTGGTACAGTCAGTTGAGAGTCTAACTCTTGGTTTTGGCTCATGTCGTGATTTTAGGATTGTGGGATTGAGCTCACATCAGCCTGCTTAAGATTCTCTCTCCCTCTGCCCTTCCCCCACCAAAAAGAAAGAAATCTTTAAAAAATAATAAAAAATAAAATTATATATCAACCTGAAAGCTCCCACTTGAAATACCAAATAACCTACCTTTTGAAATGGGTATTAAGTTTTTTCAAAATTAAGATTTTTTTTGCCCAAAATATCACACATCTTTGTTAGCAACTTATACTTTAACATGGGAGTCTTTCAAAACAAATCTGGCTAAAATAGAAGTTACAATGTACCCAAAGATTCCAAACTTGGCCTGATCTCCGCTCCATAATGATCTTCTTGAACTTCTTGCAAACAAAGTACCTTGGAAGAAAAAAATGGCTTGAATTAAAACAGAGAGCAAACATGAATTTTCTGATGCTTTCATCTTTAAAAAAAAACAGACTTCTAAAATTCTAAAAGCCTAATAAAAGTTTAAATAAAAAGACATAATCCTTTTTTCTTGAAACTATTAAATTAACATTTCCAAATCTGATTAGTCCCCAAAAATCTGGCCTTTAATTACATGAAGCTCTGTCTCTTACTATCCCAAACTGGTATTTCCCAAAAGAAATATTTTTAATTTACATGCTGGGATATTTTTACTGAATTAAAATGTTTATTAGCACTAAATTCTTCTAGTCCTTTATCAAGATGATTTCTTTGAATGCATCTAGATTTTTACAAGAATGACTTACATTTCAAATCAAAGGAAATAATTACAGAATATTTAACACACTGCCAGTCCCTGTCTCAAAACTAACTGATAAGCAGAACTTTTTGGATCTTTTTTGAAAATTTAATGATTATTCATAGCAATAACCATTAGCAAATGACTCTTTGGAAGTCATGATACGCTGTTAAAAACTGTTCTATCACTATATTTAAAACTATCTTCCCTTCTTACCCCACAAACAAAAAGGATAAAACCATTTAGTTCACAAATGAACTTTTCCTATGTGAGGAATTTTGATGATATTCTGCACTTACATCTGCATCAAACTGTTTAATTTCTTTCAGAATATTGGGAAACCTAAAGCTCCAGTGTAAAACTGGCCGCCGGCAGTGTCTATAGAGGTGTGAATTGTCTTCCAATAAATCTTGTGAAAGTATATTATAGGACATCACTGAAAAGTCAAACTTGTTATCACTGTCTTCACATGTGGGGTCAACATTTTGGTCTCCTAGGATCTTCGTCTTGTCTTTATTATGGTTACATATATATTCCCAATGTCGTTGTATTGTGCCTGTTGAAATATATTGAACAAAATATAAAGAATTAATGAAAAACAGACTATATATTTTCCTGTATGTAAGTTTTTTCTTGCCTTTTAAAAATTCTTACAGGCAATGAACAGAATGTTTTTCCCTAGGAAATGGCAATACAGCTTTAGGTAACTAGAAGTTGTCATCAAATTGAGTACAAAGGCAGTAAAATGATATAATGACTGACCAACAGGTGTAAAATTTAAAAGGATCTAGCAAGTCATTTTGGAGACAGAGTGTTATTAATAAGGCTAAGACTGTGTAGAGCTTCTCGCTTATGGTTAGGAAGTGCCTCTGTCAGACATGGCCAGCAACTTCATAACCATGATAATATACAGTTGACCTTTGAACAATGCAGGGGTTGAGGGGTGGGTTAAGGCACCATGCAGTTGAAAATTTGCATAAAACTTTTGACTACCTCAAAACTTAACTACTAATATCCTACTGCTGACTGCTGACCTTACCAATACCATTGACGGTAGATTAACATGTACTTTGTATATGTTATATGTATTTTATAATGTGTTCTTACAATAAAATAAGTTGAAGAAAAACTATTAAGAAAATCATCAAGAAAATACATTTATAGTACTGTACTTATCAAAAAGGTCGAGTGTTGTTCAAGGGTCAACTGTATTTGTATGTCACAGTTGAGTTTTCAGTAAGATGATTTCACACTGTGGTTTATTTCCTATTAGTAAGATAAGATCATCAAATGATTAAGTTCTAGAAATAACTCAGAATTCTGGTTTAGACACGAATGAGGGTGTATGATGGCAATATATGGAAGCGGTATTTAGTGGAACAACACACAAAATGAACAAAAGAAATCTTTTTAATGCACACTAAAGCAGAAGTTAAAGGTAACATAGTTACAGGATGCAAGTAAGCGACAAGGACTGGTTGAAGAACCTAGCATGCAGCAACCAGTAATGTGTGAAGGTTTACATTCTACAAAAACACATGGACCCTGACACAGTGATGAAGAGAGAATCAAAAAGCATGAGATTTAACAATTATAGGTCCTCTACTTAGAAATAAATGACCTAGCAACAAACACACACACACAGAAATACACATACATACACCCCCTCTGATCTTGTCTCTCTCACCCCACCATGGAGGATACTCTTACTGCCATGGAATTCATGAAGAAAAATGTAGAACTTTTAGAGATTCTATGAACTCAACAGAAGGGGAAAACAAGAAATGGGACGCACTTGGGAAAACAGATTTGGAGATAAGTTTTTCAAGCATGATTAAGTTTATAGGAAAAATCTCAGTCTTAGAGTATCTCCCTTTCACTGCATGAAGGTTCTTACTCTACTGGATTACAATGCCTAAGATTCTACCAATTAAAAATTAAATTGAGGAAAAATATTCTATACATAGGAGGGAAAAAGATCAAAAGGAAATGCACCAGTATTTTTAAGAGCAGTTATCTCTGAGTGGAAGGACTGTGGCTAATTTTTCTAAATCTTCCACAATGATGATATACTCACAATCAGAATATCAATATACTCTATGAAAATGTCAATAAAGTGGAATTTAAAATGCCCTCTAGTGAGTGAGTTTAGTAAGACTGCTTTCCTCAAAATCTAAATGTTGACTGCGGTTGTACTTGAGGGAATAGACATTTTGACCAGAGGCTACAAGAGGAAGATCCTTTTTATGAATAGTGAGGTCTGGATGGAACAGGGGTGTTGGAGACAGGATATCATGAAGGTACTAAGAGCACGAGGAGAAGGATGAAGGGAAAAAAGGTGGATGGAAAGAAAATCAAAAGCCTTCCAGGATTACAGAACTTAGCCTGGAGCTTGTCCCATACCCAGGAAAGGTACGGAGACTATCCCCTTCTGTATGTATCCTTCACTGAATATGGAGAATCCTATCTGCAAAGGCCCAGAACTAGAGCTAAGTACACTGACTCTGCAGGACTCCTCTGAGATTTTTAACAGTTTCTATGGGGAAAACAGAAGTGGATGGTCGACAACTGATTCTCAAGAACAAATTACCTAGAACACAATTTATTCATAAATTGGGGACTGTCCATGATGGTTTTAGCCATAAAAAAGTCTTCATACGTATGAGAGATGCAAAGGGCTCTAGTCATGCAAACAAAATGCAAGCTACCATCACAAATTTACAGCACTACCCTAGTGTCACCACCACATTAAAATATGAAAGATGAAGGTCCAAAAAAAGTTGTTCATATTTTCTTATAAAATACGTATATGTAAGGGCATATAAATGCATTGAGACTGTATTGTCCTGACAAGCATTGGTAAGCCAGCTCTTTTTGCAATTCCATTTCTGAAGTAACTGAAACCATAAGCTTATGTAATTAATGGAGTGGCTTTCAAACTTCTAGATCTTGTACAACTCTTTGGCATTACTTTTCATGTCATGACCATCAACTCCTGGTATACTGGGGCTGGGATGATGGGGTAAATACATACTTTCTCCTGAGCACATTTGCTTTTAATAAACATATAGAAATGTGTTTGAACGCTAGGGTTCCATGGAAGACAATCTGAAGAGGACTGATAGAGATGACAGTCTTTGGCCTTCATATACTTCACAACATAAAGTCACACTACAAAAGCTTATATACCTTCCATGTCAGGAGGAACAAGGTGATCACAGCAGAGAAGACAGATGAATCAAAGAAAGTAAGCAATAGGCCTGATCAGGTTTTTAGGGTGCCTAATTAAAAAGTCATAATTGTGTCACACAAATCCTTCAAATGCCACTTTAAAGTGATAGGCAAGTTAGAAGGCTGTTCTCTTGATGGAAAAGTATTAGTGAATTATCAGAAGTCACAAATATGGCTTAACGAAGAGCATTTTCCTTATTCACAATACCTAGGAAGAATGGACATATAAAGAGTCAGGTCGCAATCAAAGTTTATCAGTACGTAAATGTAATCCCCCATTCATTAAAGGGAAAACAACAACACCACGATTTTCTGAGTACCTCCTATGAAGCCAACAGTGTATTAGGCACTTTGACATATCTCATTTCATCCTCAACAGGCTTTCAAAGTAGGCATTACTTCACACTAGGAAATCAAGGAGCAGAGAGGTTCCATAACCTGTCCAGGTTCACACAATAAGTGGTGGAGCAGAATGAGAACAGGGGGGGTGGTTCCTGACCGCACACTTAGGTCAGTATGCCGCAATTCTACCTGAGAGCACACCAGATTTACAAAAGGCTAAACAAGAGAGCAGTGTGCTGACCTGATGAACAATGAATACAGGAATGAAAAGCAATCTTATGTCATCATACAGCCCTAGATTTATAGGTTGATTGTTCTCAGGAACCTAATTTTAATCCCTCTAAGTACACCTTTCATTCATTCAAATGAGTATTTGTTGATGAACACATGCTGTGGTCAAGTACTATACAAACAGATTTTCACTTTCAGTGCTTAAAATTTCTACTCAAACGTATAGTAGAATTTCTACTTAAAAGAACACTAATCTTCTAGCTAATCTTCTAACTCTGACTTCCAAGTGAGACTCACTCTGAATGTTTTCCTTTGACAAACTTATGTTAGCTCCCTATACCTTAACACCTACAAGTCTATTTCCAAATACCTTCAGAGGAATTATCTTCACCGAAAACCACAGCTTAGTAAGAAAGACGACTTGAAATTCTACTTAGATAATTCATATATACTTTGGGGGAGGAGGCGGGGCTGGCAGCACAAAGGGAGTCTCGCGAATTATTTGGAGTAAAAAGCATATGACAAAACTAGAAATTATCAACAAACTTAGAAAAATATTTCTCAAAATTGAATAAGATATGGTCCTTAGTAAAAGATAAAACTCCTCACAGATTCTCAAGATTTTATCAATAGAATTTACTATGAGGAAAAAAAAAAAGAATTTACTATGAGAAATACATTGAATAAGCTAAAATCTTATTTTGTAAGAAAATATCTTTCATTTATGATTGTGTCTACTTAAGAATATCTTTTTGTCTTACATAAAAAAGTTAGCATTAAAGTGGTTGGTTCAGTTGGTAGAGCATGCAACTCTTGAACTGAGGGTTGTCTGAGTCCCATGTTGGGTGTGGACATTACTTAAAAATAAAATCTTCATGGGACACCTGGGTGGTTCAGCGGTTGAGCGTCTGCCTTTGGCTCAGGGCATGATCCCAGAGTCCCGAGACTGAGTTTCACATCGGGCTCCTGGCATGGAGCCTGTTTCTCCTCCCTCTGCCTGTGTGTCTCTGCCTCTCTGGCTGTCTCTCACGAATAAATAAATAAAATCTTCAAAAAAATAAAAAAATTAAATTTAATTTTTTTAAAGTTTTTTTATTTTTTTATTTTTATTTTTTTTATTTATGATAGTCACAGAGAGAGAGAGAGAGGCAGAGACACAGGCAGAGGGAGAAGCAGGCTCCATGCACCAGGAGCCCGAATTGGGACTCGATCCCGGGTCTCCAGGATCGCGCCCTGGGCCAAAGGCAGGCGCCAAACCGCTGCGCCACCCAGGGATCCCCAAATTTAATTTTTTTAATAGATATGTGGACTCCCAAGAACATATACCAATTAGGAAGTCTAAGGACCTCTGTTTTAAAAACAGTGGATTTGATAATTATTTTTAATGTTTTAATCTAGTCCTACATTCTTTTGCAACCTATTCTCTCTCTATATATACTTTCTTCTATATTTATTACCAGAAATACACAATAAAAGATAAAAATAGATATAAATAAAGACTTAATTTTTAAAAAACAATTTCCTTTTTCCTAACGGAAAACTACTGGCTGGAAATAAATGCTAAACCCCTCCAAAACCTGGAGGAGGTCTTACGGATTATCAGATAGGAAAGTTTCAGTAATTCTATGGCTTCTGTCTTTCTGCACCAAGATAAACGTCACCTTTACCTTGGTGTTTTCTTCGTTTTGATGAAGGTTCATCTCCCTCAGAGTTCATGATGTAACTAGAGAGATGAATCAAAGAGGTCTGGCTCAGGTTGTCAGGTCTCCAGTTCCAGTACTGAAACGGAGTTCTAGACTCAAACAAACAAGGTGGTCTCCAATTTAGTGAAAAATGCCTACTACTGAAGTATGGGTAAGGAGCACGAGAATAATGTCCAGGCCACCTCATACAACTAGAAATATGTCTGTTCCAGCAACACCTTTGCAGATTCTCCCACGGTGTCGTCCAATCTCTGCCCAGACTCTTCTGGTGATGGGGTAACATGGGGTATCTAAAAGAAATAAATACACTCCTTGAGGTACCACTGTTTGTTCAGCTCTGACACCCAAAATCCATATCCGTTTCCTCAAGGGAAGATAATGTCTAACATTTAAAATCTGACTTCTGAATCTATGAAGGGGGGGGGGAGAAGGGAAGAGCCATGATTTAATTATTAGTAGCAACATCTCAAAACTCTCCCTAAACACCTACGAATGTATTTGAAATAATATAGACTCTAGCAGGCTCCCAAAATACCACACACTTCAAAATGCCCTTAGTTCACTTGAGAGATTAATCAACCACCTGAGAGATTAATCAACCATCAAACCAGTTTTCACAGTAGCTTTCTAGTATCTAATAAACTCTATGGATAAATAAAATCCACAGCAAACATAATACTTGATTCAACAGGGAACACTTTAGCTGAGTACAATTAAAGCGAACCACTCCTCCAACTTGGGTTTGGAGTAGAACCATGTTTTTGAACAGTTTTTTTTTTTTTCTTAAACCAAGATTACATTTTCCAAACATATGTATAGCTAAGAAAACAAAAACCTATCACAATTTCACAAAACTACCTCTCTTGCTAATCAGTAGGTAGAAAATGGATTTTTCCATCCTTTTTTTTTTTTTTTAAGGCATGCTTCTCTTTGAGGGAAATGAAATGGGACAGCGATTACTTATTAATAATTCACCAGTACCTCAAACCCAACAGCACAAATTTACTGATGATCCAAAATCTCTCCAAAGTAGTGTCATCATTAACTTGAATAGATAACGTTGCCCTCCAGCTCCCTTAAGAAAGAAACAATGCCACCTAAGCACCATCTTCTTACCATACTATCGTGGCAAAATTTTCAAATTCAGAGGACTTCTATCCTTTCCCAGAACTCATTAAAGGTCCACTTCCAAGATATGGTTATTAATGCCCACTTCTACCACCAAAGAAGTTTTACTTAAACCGTATTTGACGTTTATATATATGTATATATATTTCATTTTAAAGGCATTTAGGTTTTTTATTATATACTTTTGTTGTTTATGCATTCTCAAATTGTTCTCTAAATTCGACTTGATTGTACATCTTTAAGGGCATGACATGGGCGGACTATTCTGCTTTGTGACAACTCTGAAAGCCGTGGAGATTTAGGTGCTTGCTCCATTCCTTTTCTACCCTAAAAAGCTACCGTACTGAAATACAATTCTTAGGCTGCAACACTTATTCTCTATATGTGTAAGTTACTTATATAGACGTCTTTTTCTCAAGACGATGAGCTCCTTCAAGGCCAGAGCTTCTCTTACTCGTTTTAATCCCGGTCCGTCCCCCAGTGCCTAGCACAGTGCCTGGCACACAGCTGGTACTCAGGAAAACATAGTTGAGCTGAATGGTCACCAAGCCCCGGACGGCAGGTGATTAAAACCAGATCCCCAGAACTCATACGATAATTAACAGTGTTGTGTTTTCCATGCAGCACACAATTACATTTTTTTTTTTGATTTTCCGCATCTAAGTCTTTATCAGAAACGAAACAAAACAACAAAACAAAACCCATCACGAGTGCATCGAATGCAAGATTTCGTGCATACTGCTTAGGGGGCACCATCATAGGGGCGGCAGAAGTGCTTTTTCTTTTCCCCCCAAAAAAAGAATCAATTTCAAAAAAAAAAAAAAAAGAAAATGTAGCACACACAAGTGCGGAACGAGAATTCTACGGACAAACATGTGGGCGTGCGTGCGGCTCGCGCGCCTCCGCCGGGGCCAGGCCGCCCCGGGACCCACCGCGCCCCGGCCGCGTCGCCCGGAGCTCAGCCCCGCGCGGGTGCCGGGGCCTGCGAGGAGGCCGGCGACCCGGGGGCGGGGCTGGGGCGCAGCCAGGTCGGGAAGGCACGAGCCCGCCGGCGACCGCTCGCCCGCCCGCCCGGCCCGGCCCGGCCCGGCCCCCGGCCTCCGAGCGCCCCGCCGGCTGCGCGCCGGGTTTACCTATCCCTCGGGGTCTCCGGAGGCTCGTCCCGGCGGCAGCGCCGCCCGGACGCTCTTCCTCCGCCTTCCTCCCGCCCCGCCCCGGGCTGACCCGGGCCGCCCGCGCCCGCCCCTCCCTCCTCCCTCCCGCCACCCAGCCCTACTGACCGGCCTCTCCCCACCACACAGCGGCCGTAGCCCCTCCTCACACAGCGCCACGCTTCCATCTTCCCCTCTGCGGGCGTCCGGTTCCCAGGCCCGGGGCTCAACCTCAACCTCTACCCGCGACTCGGCGGCCGAGAGCGCCAGGGCTTCCCCATCCCTAGACGTCGGGACTCCGAGCCCGGCTGCAAGGCATGCTGGGAGCCTCCGGCTCGCCGGCCGCCAAGTCCCCATCTTGCGCCGCGAAAGTGCCCGAATTGCTTCAACCCCGACGTGCGTTCAGGTTAGCATGCGCAGAGCGTGCGGAAGTCTGCGCAGCCATTTTGGAACAGGGCAAGCACCCGACCTCTGTGTTAAAGAAACAGGAGCTGAGCCGCGGGCGGAACAGCTCTGTGAAGGCCTACGGGAGGGTCCCGGGGTGGTGACAGCGTGAGAGCTAAGAAGAAAAAAACAAAAAACCCCAAAAAACATGTGTTAGCGTATTTTTATGATGTCCTTGGGAGATTCATAAGGCGGATGCCCGAATACCCTTCTCTGTGTTCCCGTGGAACGGTGGTGCCGGGGATTTTTGCAGTTAATTTTGTGGGAGCACATCTGCAGGGGTCACTTTTAGGTGTGTGTGTCTTTCCCAAATTTAGTAGATTCTAGATTATTGGAAAGCTTTTTTTTTTTTTTTAGCAAAGCAATAGAAGTTTATTAAGCAGAGCTACAAGAGAAAGCTCTCAAAAGAGAGGGGTCCCAGGGTGCCTGGGTGGCTCAGTGGTTTAGCATCTGCCTTCAGCTCAGGGAGTGATCCCAGGATCCAGGATCCAGGATCGAGTCCCACATCAGGCTCTCTGCGAGGAGCCTGCCTCTCCCTCTGCCTATGTCTCTGCCTGTCTCTCTCTGTTTTTCATGAAAAAATAAATAAATCTTTAAACAAAGGGGGGGGGGAAGGGGTCCCGACAGCGTTTCCCTGGAAAGCACTATTTAAGTGGAGACTCTTCAGAGAGACACAGAGAGAAACTGAGGAAGAAGAATAAAGTGGGGGGAGGGGGGGGGAGGATCCTGGAAGGCAGATTCACTGCTTTTGTAGGGAGAGCAGTGGAGTAATTTATCCGGAAGGCAAGTATGTTATCTGGTATGTAAATGAGGAATCAGGTACATTTGAAAGACAGTTTCCCTCTATAAATACAGTTGGTTGCCATCATTTGTTGTAGTTGTGTTCTCTAAAGTGACTGCCCACGCTGAATTAGGGAATACTGAACTTCTAGAGGTCTATTTTCTGTTGAGTGAGAGAGAGCAGGAAGTCTGGTTTCTTAGTCTTATTTCTCTATCTTGAGCTCAAGAATTCTGTGCCCACTGGGAAAAACAGCTCTTTGGTGTCAGGACTAGTGAGTGAGTTTTTGTGATTCTGTGTTGCCTCTAGTGGAAATACAGGGAGGGGTTCCCGTGAGCCTCTGGTCACATCGATTTAAAAAACAAACAAACAAACAAGCAAACAAACCTTGTTTTATGTGTTTCTGCTTCAAGTCACCTCATTTAGAGTATACACTTTTGACTCACCAACATTGAAATCGTGGCCAGTAGCACTATAACTCAGGCACCAGTGAAGCTTATCACCCATGTCTTTTCATGTGCTTAGGTACGCGAGACAGCACGTAAGCAGTGCACTTGATTTTAAACAGCAGAATCACCCACAAAAAGTACAAAAATGGGAAAACCGTGGTACGAAATAAACTGTTGCAGAGGACACTCATGTAGAGTGTGAGCGCTGAAACAAGAATGCAAGGTTTGTTTCCTTTAGCCTCTCCTGGGTACATGCAGGTTGGATAAGTCAACTTTCCCCCACTCTGCATATGTCCGTGAATGATTGAAAAGCACCTGTGGGGCACCTGGGTGGCTCTGTGGGTTAAGCATCAGACTCTTGATTTGGGCTCAGGCCATGATCTCAGAGTTGTTAGATCAAGCCCCCATCCTCCATCCTGGACCTCTATGCTGAGGTCCTACTTAAGATTCTATCCTGAGGAGCCTACTTAAGATTCTCTCTCTCTCTCAAAAAAAGGCACTTGCAAGTATTGATTTTGGAGTTACAGATAAATTTTAGTAGTTAGGCAAAATCTGCAAATACATAATGCATGAATAGTGATGGTCAGATGTATTTCTATTTTATACAGCCCTATTTTCTGGTTGTACTCAAAATTTTGCTACTTTTAAAATGTATTGACTGGTATCTTGTATGTTTTATCTCTGTAACGAGATCATTATTTTCAAAATTTACCCCACCTAGTGCTGCACTAAGTACACAATAGAATGTAGATATTTCTGAGTGAATGGTTAACACAGGACCAGAATTAGAGCAAATCTGTGAATGAGCAGAAATTTCTCCCTCTAGTACATCCTATAACCTCTGGTTTGTGATATGTAAGGAAAAATGTAGCACCTTGAAATAAGTAAAAGAGATTAATGGATGTTGGAATGCTGGAATTTGGAGGATTGTCTGATCCTAAAAGATATTCACCTTTATCTTGAATGAGACTATTTTAGAATTCTGTAGTGATTAATGTTAGCTTGTTGAGAACTGATGGCAATACAAATGATTATTATCTATGAACATGTGAATGAATTCTACCCAATGGGAGGGGAGAACTCTCCTCCTCTGTAGAAAAGCCAGTTTTGCATTCATTTGCAAGGTCAATATTACTAACCTATAAAGTGTCTGCTTTTTGGATTCTCCTGGAACAGACTGTAACATCTCTCTGGTTTCCTTATTCAGTAAGTTAAATAAAAATAATTTTGCATAACTTTTTTTTAGGATTCTCCTTTAGCAGTTTTGCAGTTTGCACCAAGATGTCCAACATATTCATCTGACAGAAACGGATGAACTTATGACCAAAGAGGTACACCTCATGGATTGTCAAGTCTAGGTGTTTCTTTTCTTGCTCCCAGAGGTAAATCTGAAGCACAACAGAATTTTTTAATGATTTTTTTTTTTAAGTAGACTCCACACCTAGCGCAGAGCCCAATGCAGGGCTCTAACTCACAATTTTGTGATCAAGACCCAATCAAGAATTTGAGGCTCAATCAACTGAGCCACCCAGGTGCCCCTCAACAGAATTTTTAAAAAATCTGTTTTCCTAATTTAAATTTTCTTCTCCACCACTTTTGTGTTTGGGTTAGTGTATATGGACAATAGATTACGTCCCTCCACTGGCAGTAGTAATTAGCAATTTGGTAATATGGTCTGACCATTTGGTGATCTCTGTAAAAGGATTAATAGCTTCTAGAGATCTATTTTCTATTGAGGGAGAGATAGAAGAAAGTCTGGTTTGTTAGTCTTATTTCTCTGTCTATCTTGAGCTCAAGAATTCTGTGCCCACTGGGAAAAACAGCTCTTTGGTATCAGGACTAGCGAGTTTATGTGATTCTGTGTTGACTCTTGACCCATAGCTGAAACTGTAGAATCAAAGCCATAAACTCTCCATATGTCTGTGTGTCTATATGTCTGTTATTCATGGAGGTCTTTATTTCTCATTACATAAATATGAGATGTCCTACATCTGGAAGATATTAATAAGTTAAATTATAAAGTTTATTTTATTAAAGGAGCTGATTGGCTTATGGGGGTAAATTAGCACTTCTATAATTTTTTTTTTTAAGATTTTCATTTATTCATGAGAGACAGAGAGAGAGAGGCAGAGACACAGGCAGAGAGAAAAGTAGGCTCCAGGCAGGGAGCCCCATGTGGGACTCCATCCTGTGACTCCAGGATCATGCTCTGGACCGAAGGGAGGCGCTCAATCGCTGAGCCACCCAGGCGTCCCTAGCACTTCTATAAATTTTTTAAAAGATTTTATTTTTAAGTAATCTCTAGATCCAGTGTGGAGCTCGAACCCACAACCTCGAGATCAAGCATTCCATGCTCCCCCAACTGAGCCAGCCAGGTGCCCCAGCACTTCTATAAATTTAATTCCTAAAATTACCTGAAAAAAAGAAATAGAAAAACTTTAACTGTGATGTATTTAAAGAAAAATATATTATTCTTATAGAAACTAATCAGAAATGTTTTAAGAATCAAAGTTTATATAATTAAGGTCAATCTCTAGTGAGCAGGTGATTTCTTTCTTGAAATAGTTTAATGCTAACAAGAAATGGGTAGAGACACTGATTGATGTTTCAAAATA